GGGAGAGACAGAAGCTGCCTCTCAGAGAGAGGGGAGAGGGACTCAGGATGGAAGCTGAAGATCAGCTTGCCTTGGTGGACTGGGGAGGGAGTGGGCATGGCTTGTCTCTTCAAGGGACAGAGCAAACCATTACAGATGCCACTGGCTGCACTGCAGAGGATCATTTAGAGGGTTTGGCTGTATGCAAAGTACTAGTCATGAGGCAGTAAGATGGCCCAGGTGAAAGATCATTTGATTGATGGACGGGCATGTCAGAGGATATGACAGTTTAGATGATCTTTGTTAAACAGACTTTTTCATGAATTAAAAGTCTAGATATTTTATTTTAAAATAATATTTCATGGTGTAATGTTTTGAAGATCTAGAAGGTATGCTCAGTGATAACCATCAGCACATTTGATGGCAAATACTCTCTTTAATGTACTTAACATATTTATACAGAAATATGACCTTAAATTGTTTTTTTCTTAAAAATACAAACTCCTAACAGACATGGTGGTGAATGCTTAGAATCCCAGCACTCCAGAGATTGAAGAGAGAAGACTGCTAAATTCAAGGCAAGCCTGGTCTACATAGTGAGTTCCAGGCCACCCAGGCCTACATAGTGAGATCCCCATTTCAAAGAAATAAAAGCAAACAAACAAACCAAACCAAACACCAAATCCTACCAAGAGAACAAAAGGGGCACAGAATTTGTTTAGCTACAGACTAACAGTTTATCTGTCCTGGAACTAGCTCTTGTAGACCAGGCTGGCGTTGAACTCACAGAGATCCTCCTGCCTCTGCCTCCCTAGGGCTGGGATTAAAAGTGTGCGCCACCACCCAGCTAACACTGGGTATCTTAGACTCAAAATAAGACCAATCTCCTATTTGAAACCCTTCTCCATGTTGACTATATAAACTAGCAGCTGCAGGCATGAGACAGAAAACACCATAACAACCATTTACCAGGCAGCGGTTCCTTCTTGCTACGTCAAAGGATTGGCTTTGAAAATATTAGACTTACTGATGTCTTCAGCTCTTCAAGGAGTGATCCACTCACCTTGAGCCCCTGACTAGCCATGCTACATTTTAGTTCTCTGTGCTTCTGGGTAAGAGATTCTAAAGTTCAAGCTGATTTTAGATTTGTTTTCTAAAGACATTCATGAGGTGTGCAAAGTGTTGGCACTTCCTATATTCTGACTCACTCTACTGGAAAAATCTATAAAACTGGAGTTTACAGAGCACTTTTGTATACATTTGTGAAACTAATATTCAACTACATGCTAATGGGTTTCACCTTCAGAAACTGGGTAGAATGAGGGGGTGTGGAACGTCCAAGACGTGGAGGAGGATTTTGAGGGGCTAGCCCTCTAGTGAGATCCAGCTCCCTCAAACCTGAGCCGAATTTCAATGATTCAGATACTGGAAAATATTTAAACCGCCCAGATAAATAGATGAGTACTGTCTGAAGTGGCAGGGGGTGCGTGTGTGTGCGCACGCGCGTGCGTGCATGCACATACAATGAAAAGAGAGTTTTACGAATTTTTTCCCTTTCTTATCTCAGAACTACAAATCCCTTACTTTGTTTTGACAGTTAACGTATTATTTTTGAGACAAGATTTTGTGTAGTCCAGGCTGACCTTGAGCTCAGGATGATCTTGAACTTCTTATCTTCTTGCCTCCACCTCCCAAACTGTAGGATAACAGGTGTGCCCAGCCACACCTACTGTATGTGGTGGTGGTGGGGGGGGGGGACTGGACCCAGGACTTTGTATACACTTGGCAAGAATTCCATCACCTAACCTCCATTCCTAACCCAAGTTTCTCAGTATAACGTAACTCCTGCTGGCATCTGCTGCACTTTTTCAATCTGCACACATGCTCCTTCTTGTTTTGATTCCTACCTGAACTGACAGTGGCCAACTGTCCTTCTTAGTATAAAGAAAAAAAATATGATGGAGTTGGTGAAATGGCTTATCAGGTACAGTTGATTACCACCAAGCCTGATGGACGACTCTAACCACCAGCGCTTACCTGGTGGAAAAAGACAACTCCCAGACATTGTCTACTGATCTCCATATACACACTGCTGGTACGTGTGTGCATCCCCTTTCACTCACAGACTTGTTTGTGTACACACACACACACACACACACACACACACACACACGCATGCACACACTGCAAAAGTATTCAAAACCTGTATGCCACATTCCATTCTAATAAACTCTAACAATTTTCCAAATTACTGACTTTAACTCGGGAGTTTAGTTAAGAATGAGAAAAGAATAGCTTGGAA